CCAATTTCTGATAATGAGGTGCAAAATGAAATTCTGAATTATCTGCTTATATATTAGATTGTTGATTCCGTAGACCCCACCATCGGTTGTTTTCTTGAATTGTTATTTTAGTGATATGCAATGGCTAACTTTATGTGCATTCTTTCAATACAGTTCTCAATGACTGGAAATCACCCTTATCATAAGTCTTGCTACAAAGAGCGTTACCATCCACGATGTGAAGTCTGTAAACTCTTTGTAAGTATCTCTTCTAGAAATCTTCTGTTTATTTGTCTTCTTCAAGTTGTGTGTTTCATTCCATTGTATGAATGGGCAAGTTTTGGGCATATAATTTTTTGAACTATGTGTCACCAGAAACTACTCTACTTTCATAAATGCTTAAACTAAAAAATGTTGTCCTTAGAATTTTTGTCCTACCTTTTTTTTTATTATTATTATTGTAAATGAACACTTCTCTGCCGATGTAATAGATCAGAACTACTTGTGAATGCTCTTGAAGGTCAAGCCAAAGGATACTCATTAGACATTTTTTTTTTAAATGAGCACATACTTCATTGTTTTAAGAAACATTAATGCGTACTGTACTCGGATGATGACTGTGAATGAGATTGGTGAGGTTATGTTTACGAGTTGGTGGAGACAGAGAATTTGTAGAGGCTATAGATCCAAAGGGTGTTAACCATATTTAAAATCAATGTGATATGCTTATCATGTTTTATATTGATAAAACTGCAATTTGTAAATGTACTTCTCTAAGAATTTCAGATATATTACTCATATACAATTGGTGTCGCTTTTTTGTATATATATCCTTTGACAGATTCCAACAAACCCAGCTGGTCTTATTGAATATAGGACAAGTCCTTTTTGGACCCAGAAGTACTGTCCTTCTCATGAACATGATGGTACTCCTCGTTGCTGCAGCTGTGAGCGTATGGAGGTTAGTCTGGATGAATTCCTTACACTTGCAAAAACTTCTTTTTAAGCTTTCTAAGGAAAATCATGGTGAACTGGCTTTCTGTAAAGTAATTCATGAGTATAATGCATCTTCTCATCACATGCAGCCAAGAGACACTGGATATATTTCCCTTAATGATGGCCGGAAGCTCTGTCTTGAGTGCCTGGACTCAGCAGTCATGGATACCAAGGAGTGCCAACCTCTTTATCTTGATATACAAGAATTTTATGAACGTTTAAATATGAAAGTGGAGCAGTATGTTCCACTACTCTTGGTTGAAAGACAAGCACTGAATGAAGCCAGGGGTGGAGAAAAAAATGTAAGGGAAAATGCATTGAAAAGATTTTGTATCACCTACCTGACTCTTTTCTTTGGAATGGCTAACTACACATTGAAGCTATTATCAATTAATTTAGTTATCTTCTCTCCAAGTTTTTCTGCCCACGTACAAATCAGGCCATTATTAACGATCTTCTGATATATCAAGTCATAAAAACACCTGTTACGCTATCAGGGTAGTTGCCATCCACTGATCCTGAAAGGTATTGTTGGCTCGAACCTCAGAAAAGGCAGTTTTACATGTAAAATAAAAGATCAAAGAAAGAAAAGGAAAAAGAAAACCATTGTCCCTCTGTCTACATCTCACTGGGTTATCGTGTCAAACATTATTGAATGCGTAAAAAATTGAGAAATTACTTATTCCATGAATTTTAGTAGTGGAATTTCTTTTCAAGCAATTTAATTTGCTAAGTTGGTTTTGTAATTTCTACCTCTTGGACAGGGCCATTACCACATACCAGAGACTAGAGGGCTTTGCCTTTCGGAGGAACAAACCATTAGAACTGTAAGAAATTTTGGAATCTTGCATTTTCATTTTGTAATGGACGTCATTTTGGTTTCTTTAGTTGGCATTTAGGAAATTTAAATTGCAATGACCATGAATCATCAGGTATCAAGGCGACCAAGGTTTGGAGCTGGGAACCGAGCCATGGGTATGGTAACAGAGCCTTACAAACTAACACGTCGTCGTGAGGTTACTGCAATTCTGATTTTGTATGGCCTCCCAAGGTATATCTCTAGTCACTTTTCTGCTACTCTTTCACCTGAGGGACCCATGGAAATACTGAAGAACAAGTCAAAAAAATTAATCCATTTATAGGACTCCGTCAATTGGATTAAGGGATCATCCAATTGGAAATAATAAGAGAATGCATAGATCATTAAAAGGAGTTCTAGTACACATATAAATACAGTACACCTAATTACCTTATTTAGAAACGAATATTCAGTGTCTGTATGCGTGTATTTCAATACTAAATAGTTCGGCCACAATTTATAACAAGAAGATGCAATGAGGAACAAGAAACTAGCACACCTCTTCATTTCTTTGACATGCTGCATGGATATTTAGTGGAGGATGTTTTTTTCTGCATTAGTTATGTATTTTAATAGCAGATGTTTTATGCATGTCTTGAAATCTTGATCATTACAGGTTGCTTACGGGGTCAATCCTAGCTCATGAGATGATGCATGCATGGATGCGGCTGAAAGGTGCTTCTACACCCCATGCTCTGTAGAGTCAGTTTTCTTTATCTTTCATATATTAGCATCAGGATTTGAAGATTTGACCTTTAAATGATGGTTTATTTTCCTTGTAATTTGCTTAAGCAAATGCTAATTGATGGATGACCTTAAATAACTTCACCTATGCAATTGTTTCTTTTAAAGTATTTGGGACTGTTTTTTGAGATTCTGACATTTTCTGTTTTTCTGCAAGGTATTCAAACTCTCAGTCAAGATGTTGAAGAGGGCATTTGTCAGGTGCTTGCACACATGTGGTTAGATTCGGAGCTCAGATCCACTTCAGGCAGCAATGTTGCATCATCCTCTGCTTCCAGAACAACAAATAAGGGTACAAGATCTCCATTTGAGAGAAAGCTTGGGGAGTATTTCAAGCATCAAATTGAGTCAGATACTTCCCCGGTGTATGGAAATGGATATAGGGCTGGTCAGCAAGCAGTGAGGAAATATGGCCTCGAAAGGACACTTGATCATATACGAATGACAGGGAAGTTTCCATATTGAAGTTCTAAGCTTGAAGTTGCCCTTGCACTATCTGACGTCTCATACTGAATCACGCACTTGGGTGCATGGAAATGGATAGAGAGCCAATGAGCAAGTTTCGAACACAAATATAGCCTTTGACGGACAGCTGACCTTACTTAAATGACACGGAGCTTTCCATGTTGAGTTTTTGAACAGTGACTTCTCACTATACTCTTCTATTCATAGTTACAACCTGGCCTTTTCCTATATGAGCCCAGGGCCGAAGCACATAGGAATTGATTCTGTAGAGAGTAGCTTCAAGAGAGCTGATTTTTAAGCCTCTTAAGCTATAGTGACACATTGAATAGGATTTTTTTTGTTTGATATAATAGTAATCTTATGATAGAATTTCATTCTCTCATCCCTGTCTTCACTTTGGTGGAACTCTTTGAAATGAGAAAAGCTATATGCAGGAGCAATCACCATCTTTTTGTACGTGTGTGAAAAAGGAATCGGGCGGGATACAATGGTGGAAATAAGAAAACCTACATGCAAATGACTTTTACTTTGAAATGTTTTCTTCTTTCCAAGTAGTTTCACCTAGTGATGGACACCATAGTTGGGCTGCTTCAACAACAGAGTCGAAGTTTAATAATTATGATTTCTGCACATTTGCCTGAATTCTCAACAGAATTGATACTACTTCCTCCATACTAGGTCTCCTGGCTGGTTCTTTCATCAAGCAAGCTACGCTTACTTTAGCCAAGCATAATGCGAAGTTGGTCCCACAACTTCCTTTTAGAGCAGGATCGACAAAGAAATCCAGCTCAACTTCAGGGTTTTTATTCTCCATGACAGAAACTATTTCCGTTGAAAGGAGGGCTTCCCTGCCATCCTGCGTGAAAACAGCATCTTTCCCTGTGATCAGTTCCAGCAAAATGACTCCAAAGGCATAAACATCAATCTTGGGAGTCACTTGTCCTTCCCGTACGTACTCAGGCGCCATGTAACCTAAAGAGCCCACAACATGTTTTGTCATGGCAGCGCTTGTCGCTGCTCTCGCAAGACCGAAATTTGCAATCTTGGCCCTTAGATTGCCGTTTAACAGAACATTGCTGCTTTTGATGTCCTTGTGCACATAGGCAGGTTCGGTGAAGCTGTGAAGATAGTAAAGTCCATTGGCAACATCCAGAGCAATCTGAATTCTCTGGGCCCAATTTCCAGTTTCTTCGAACTTTTTACAGGACAGCCACTCTCTAAGGGACCCATTTTCCATGAACTCCAAAACAAGGTAGAAACAGCCACGATTTTCGCATACACCTTCAAGCTTAATCAAATTGAAGTGGTTGATCCTCTTCAAAATGTTCACTTCCTTTGTTACATCTCTACTCATCTTCTTGACAGCTAAGATCTCCCCACCAAACTCTCCACGATACACAGAGCCTTTTATTCTACTTTCTGAACTGAGATTTTCAGTAGCTTTCCTTACCTCTTCGAATTTGAAGACTTTCAAAACTTGCTCATAGCTTGCAATTTCGACACGAATGTCTTCTGGCACTACCTGTTTTCTCTCTCTACCTCTCCCAGAAACCTTTTCTCTTGTCTCTTTGCAAGAGAGAAAAACGACAGCTGTAATGACACTGATGACTAGCAAAGAGCAAGCTGCAGCAAGCCCAGCAGACCCATAAAGTTTTTTCTTTGATCCTCTATTTCTAGGAATCAAAGCTGATGTAGGAGAGATGTCTGGGTTGCTGTGAATTATTGTTTGTGAACTTGTAGGTTGAGTAGGCAGAGGTATGATAATTGTTGTATCAGGATAAAGAGTTGGATTTTCTTCCATACCATTTGCATCAAGTATATCCCTGGTGCTTACTTTGAATCTGTCAGTAATATCAGGAATGTTATCATCTGAGCTAAGAGGGTAAGTCACTAGATACTTTGTTCCTCTTATCATTTGATTCGTTGTAGGGCAAGCACATCGAAGTGCTACTTGCAGTTCCTCACCAGGCAACAAATCATATTCACCATGTATATTCAAATGCTTAAGCGCAGCACAAGTAGACAATCCCTCGTAGGTTTCTTTCGCTATGACATAGTAGGTTCCACGAGTAGTCGTGACCTGAATTGTTGTGTTGGCCTGATAATATTGGCCAAAACAAAAACAATTTACAGGAACAATCACCTCGCTGTTGGCAGGGAACTCTGATAGCGTTGTAACATTGTTGATTCTTGCCAGCTCTTCTTGGTTTGCCGACGTAAGGGCTGAGATTGAAGGCAGCGAGTTAAAAGAAGGTTGAGATTTGAAGATCAGAAAGGCCAGGCAAGATTGGTCCTGGCCATTGCAGGTGTAAAGAAATGCAGAGGATGGTCCTGCATCATCATTGGAGCTGCAGTCTAGTGCTGAATCCTTCGAGTAGTTTTGTTGAGCATTAGCATATGAAGTGAGAAAACTGAGAGTGAGCAAACTGAGAAAGAAGTTTGCCATGGTTAACGTTGTTCGGGTGAGGATACAGCGATGAGTAGACAAAATTTCAGAAATACGAGAATGATAAGGAATATATGGACTCATGCTAGGGCTATCAATAAGCGCGTTAAGGGTTAAACAATCCTTGAAATCGACAATTTTCGTTTACTTTTGTTTCCGAAAATCAAGCCCTTGATACAAAAAATAATTTTGTCTGAATGTATAAAATGAACGACAGTGATCTTGACTTGACCAAGTTTTATTGTTCCGTGTTAACGTTGTTTTTTTAATGAGAGGATCATTCTATCTTGGCTTGACTTGATTATGTAACTATGCATGTTGATCCATGCGAGGCAGACTTCGGGCTGGCCCGGACAACATGTCTTCGCAAGTCCGGACACCGGCCCGACCAACCCGGCTGGTCAAGCATTTAAATTTGTATTTCGTCTTGAAAACGCGTTTTTCCAATTCTAGCTAGCGGCTAGCTTGCATTTGACGTCCTTAGGAGGGGAGTGTAGGGCATAGCTACATGACTCATTTCAACGTTTGGTTCAGGAGCTGGAGGTGTTAGCATGGGGATAGGCGCGTCTTCCAAGTCTACTATTGTTTTAATTTTTGTTTGAAACAACTTATTTTGAATGAGTTTTTTTTTTAAATAAAATAATGTTATTTTAAATAACAATTATATAAAAAATTAGTCAAATTGAATCATCTAATTATAAATTGATTTAAAAATAAAATGATGTCATTGTTACTTGAGTAATACATCAATAATGTCTTTATATCATACACACAAACTTTTCCGTTGTTACAATTTTTTTTAATAAAAAAAACACATTCATTTAATAAAACAATAAATTTTAATACACTTGATTTTAAAAAATAAAATTAATACACGTATTTATTGTGTTATTATCCCCTTCAAAGTTTTGCAGCTTTTGATGATGATCTTCCATCAAATTAAATTAAATTCATTTTTTTAGGAACCCTATTTCTTCACGTATCAAACAGTTTGTAGTTTATATTTCTAATCAAATTAACATGATTATCAGGGTCAACGGCCTTAAGATAGATGTTCCATCTTCTGCTTCTTTCTCATTCAAAAGCACACACCTGGAAGGAGGAGCGTTATTTTTAAGAGTTCCCCACAAATTTCGAATTTGTTTCATGCACAATAATGTAATTTTTCCTTTGAAAATCCTCAAACATTAAACCCTGAAATATACCCCACAACTCAGATGACATGAAGCTCCTACGCTTACCCAGATTGCGCGTGAAGCCTGGAACCCAATTTCCAGATTCATCACCTATGATTCCAGCAGCACCAGCAACACCTGGATGTCCCTTCGAAATCCCAGCCACGTTCAGCCTCCATCATCTGGGGATGGAAGCCGGGGTACCAATTCACCCTGCCTTGATGATTTGGTATGCATTTTAGGACTGAAATCTTGTTCAAGATTATCAGAATTTTGCACTTCTGTTTTGATCTCCGTGGGGTAAGATTTAAGATATCTATCTCCATCTCCATTCACCCTCTCAAGTGCGTTCTCTGGCAAAACGTTGCTGAGTTTCAGCTTAAACGACTCTACAAATCCTGGGGGAACGCCTGCGTCATCCATAGCATCAGAAAACTTTCCAAGGCAGCTCTGCAAGGGATCCAGAGAGGCCATATCACCTCTTGTCTTCTAAGCAACTAAATGGTGAGCTTGTTCAGGTTTAGAAATTGCATGTTCGACAGTGGAATCCAAATCCTTGAAAGAATATAAGATATTGGATTTCAAGGCATCTCCATCAACAGTTTCCTTGTTAGACTCCACACAGAACCTACTGGATGATTCTTTTGAAACAGCCACATCAATCCTACCTATAACAGTTCCACCTACCATGTCAATTTCCATGCCAACAGCCTCATCTCTATCCATGTTGGCATGGTCATCATGTTCACTTCCCAAAGGAGTAGCCAATGAAGGGAATTTGTTACAAATAATTTTATCATGTTTTGCATGCCGGAAAACTCCCCATAAGAAGTTTCCCATGCCTGACCTTGCAATAATATCTGTGGAAGACAAATTCAAATCATGTCAATGAAGGCATCAACAAAATTATGCAAATCTCACGCATGTTCAGCACCAAAGACTATTGGACATTCAGAACGATAACATGGCCACCAAGAGCCTTCCAGTAATCTGAATAAAGCCTAATGCTTTTCATGCAATCTCAAATTGCTTTTATATTTTCAATTCCTAGCAGGCCATAGATTTGAAATGAATGTTTTGCTTAATGCCTAAATCTAAGCCAGAGATATGAAGCATAGTCATAAAGGAATTTACTGGTATAAACCACTAGACTCTAATTCCCTTTTCCTCTTGCTTGATACCTCAACATTGCAGCCATTAATGAAAGAGGACTATAGGATGCATGCTTTGGGCTTTAACATAGACCATTTCAGATATTTTAAAAGCTATCTATTATAGACCAAATACCTCTTTATCTCCGAGTGACCAAAGTGAAAGTTAAAGATAGTGTGTTCTGTTAGTCCATCAAATTTATGTCTGTCCATCAACACACGCCACTATGTTGTTGACAAGGAAATTTTTTTAAGAGCATAAAAGTAAAGGGAAATGAATAGTACAAGTAGTTCATTGGTTATATCTCTGTTCATAATTTGAATTACTAGAATTGGAGTACCTTTTAGTAAACAAATTTAAAACTAGGCATGCGAAGATAAGACAAAAGATGAAGCATGTGGCTTCTCTCATGTTTGTTAAATCTAAACTGTTAATCATGTTCTAAGAAATATGAGGATCCCAGTCAAAAGATAAAATAACCCAGATGGTAAATGCACAAATCTAATCACGCACAACATAATCAATTCCTTTCTCAACTTGGTTCTTTGTCCTTTATCTCCTGTTTCCCCTTCCCCTACTCACAGTACCACTACAAAAGGTTGATTTTAGCACTTTATTTAGTGGTGTGAGCTTCCAGTCCGATCACAAAAAAGACAAATAACAAGAGCTTCCAGTCCGATCACAAAAAGGACAAATAACAATATAGTTATGGTTGATGCAATAATTCAATTCAAGTGTTCTAGATATTCACAAAGAAAAGGTACTCTAGTTAAGATCTCAAACAAGAGAGATAAGGGATCAGAAGATTAACATGAACATACTCATTCACTGATCATACTCATTCACTGATAGCTAAGAAAAACAGAAAAAAGAGACAGAAAGCTTACCCTGCGATTCCACATGCAGCTGTTTAGATGTGAATATCAACAACTCTACACCATCAATGTAACTTCTCATCGCTGCATTTTCTGTTTCCATAAGCCGGAATAGGCTAGCATGGTTCTCTTTTGATCTGCGAATCAATGGAAAACATTTAGTAAGAGCTAATAATATGTCCCAAAAAAAATCTACAGAGTTAAATTCCAAAAACTATGTACCTCTCAATATTAGCAGAAGGGAAAAAATAAAGTGCAATATCACAGAAATCTGGACAACTGTCTTGGAATAGGTCTTCCCAAATATCACATTGTGGAAGTAATTTAACTTGAAGGATTAATGGAATCTTCCGTGAAGACTCGTAAGCTTTCCTATGTATTCTGCATGGCAGCTGAGCCTGGAATCCACCATAAAACATTTGTTGTGTGGCAACATCAAACTTGAAGCCTCCCCTTGAGAAAAGAGAGGAGAAATCAATAGAAATTATAAAATGAGTTTCTAAGTAAGCGTGGAATGCTTTAGAGAATGCTGTAAAATGCATATCAGTAATATAAATAGGGACCTCAGACACCATTCTACAAATCCAAAACTCCAAGTAAAATGTTATATAAACAAAAACAGTTATAACTAAACCACTCTACAAAGCCAAACCAAGTAACAGAAGGCCCCTGCTAAAAGAAAAGGCAGGGCCCAGAAACCTTTCAGTTACTGAAATTGGTCTGCCAATTGTAGCAAAATTAGATTCCAAGCAAGATATACATCACATTAAGAAAGACATAATAGAGATGAGAAGCATACTTCCAAGTCACATGCAAAGCAGGGAAATGAGGATGATACAGCCTAAGCTTAGGCAGAATATTCGGCAGGTCTCTCTCTTCATCATCAGAATTTATAGCTACAGTAATGGGGCAAGAGTTCTTTCCTGTAAACAGAAAAGAAGAAAGAAAAAGAAATCAAATTGCTGCCAAGCATGGTTTGAAGTACAAGGAAGAGCTTACACGCTGATTGCCTCCAGTTTTCCAAGTTATCTTTTCAGCCATTTACACAAAATGTTCTGCGCAAAAAGTAAATGAAAAGAAAACACTTATCACCTTTTGATGTTCTTGGAGACTGTTGATTATTTGTTGTTGAACTGGTTTTCATTCTGCCATGTCCATAGGGCTTTATAAGACATGAAGGGATAATTCTGGGGGGGTTCGGAGGCACCCTGGTAGGAGAGAATTTTGAAGTGAGAGAAGAATGACTAGTTCTGCATCTGAAGTTACTTCTTGAAGGAGGTTCCTTTTTAGTGGTTCCTGATGATAATCTAATGACTTCTTCAGCAGTAAGAAACTTCACTTTTCCAGTTGTTACTGCATGCTGCCTTTTAGAATAATGCGGCCCGCGCAAATCATCAGAAATTATCGGAGCATCATGTGAATCATGTCGCAAAGCATCAAAGCAATTCTGTGAGTCTCCCTTCCTGTCACATCCTAGTGAAACCGGTGAAGCTATGTCTGTGCATGATGTACACGTTTCACATATCCAATCTTCTATGGTATCCTTGAACAAAACCCTCGTGCAATAACTGGAAAAGAAGAAGTGTCAACATAATTCTCACGACATCATACAACAGAATAGTAAATTTAAGATACCACTTGGAAGCAAAATAAATAAATGAAGGGACAAACAATTGAAATTGTAGCCTAGCCAATTTAAACAAGTAAATTTTTCCAGCTCGGTGATAAAATGTAACGTTCCACAACAACTAGGTGTATTTTGAGCATTAACCATTCAGCCATATATATGCAAATACAAGCAAATGAGCATGCACAGGGGGAGAAAGGGTCATCTTACAGATGTTCTTGAGATATTCCACATTTAGAGCAGGTTGCTATAAGTTCCTCGAAACCACCATTACCACATATGTCACAGAGCTTCACCTGCAAGGTGGAAAAGATCACATGAGAGGTGTGATCCAATATCATTGAATGGCAGCAATTAATGAAATCTTTTTGCCCAAGTAACAAACAATTCTATCAACTTCAGCATCATAATTAATTAACTTGTTTGCTTCATAAGTATGGCCAGTAGCTCTTAGCAAATCGCAAAGCAGACAAGATGCATTGATACAAATACACCATTTGGCAAATTATTGATTTGAATCCCATGAATATCCATAGATTAAAGATGTATTCAAAATGCTTGTTAGAGATCCCATGTTTTACCAAAGATCCGGCAAATTGGATTGCTCCAAATCTTTCTGCTTCTTCTTTCCCCCCTTCTCTCTCTGTCCTTGATTGATATTTGGGGAAGAGGGGAATCAACTAACAACTCCTCTTTGAAGGAGAAATATGATTATTTATACCAGTTACCATGCCTCGGGCACAAAATTGCCCCAAATAATTGATTCTTTGTCAACTTGGTATCACAAAACTTCGCTATAGATTGTTCTATACAATGGGCCCTTCCCCTGGTCGAGAATCCCCCTAAACCCCCCCTCTTGATTCAGCACCTCCTCAGGAAAGCCCAAGCAAGCTCCACATCAGTTGTCACTTATCAGGTAATACTTATTAATTAATATGCAACGCATGTTTTATGTGACCATTACTCTTCCATAAAAAAAGAAAGAAAGAAAGAAAGAAAATTTTGAAATTAGTAGTGAGAAAAAAATCATGCCCTAACTTCAAACATATCAAATGAATTGTGTAGAGAAAATAAACCACGGAATTTTCAAAAACATCAACACCATTTGAGGCTTTTTGAAAGAATATCGTAACGAGTGAGTATTATGTACAAACCCCAAAACTCGCTTGCTAATATATCCTTGCACCAAACAATGAAATGAAATGTATTAGAATCTGAATCTATAATTTCCAAGGAAAACAACAATAGCAGTAATAAGTTGTATATCGCACCTCACATGAAGTTAAAAAAAAAATAGTGAATAAATAAAAAAGAAGCTGCCACGCTAAAATACATAGCAACTCTTATTCCTTGCATACTTTTCGAAATGAATTGCTACTGGTCAACAGCTTTTCACAAGTGTTTTTCCCTTCTTTGAGAAACTTTTTACAAGTTAATAGTGAAAAAAATAGGGGTAAAATAAAAATAAAAATTGCAGAGATTATGGCTCGAGACTCAGGAAATGAACACTGCAGAAAAATCCCACAAGAATCCATCATTACCATTATCATATCATCATCAGAGGTAAAAGTGAAGGAGAAAAGGTTGTTGCTTTGCTCTCTTTTTTAAAATATATGGAAAATCGAAACAAAGTGTAAATTAATATTTTTTTTCTTGGGTTGGCTTAAAGTAAGATATTTTATGAAAGTGTGGGACTTTGGTAGGGTAAAAGACGATAAGAGAGACAAAATGGAGGATCCCTTTACCAGGTCAAGGCGGGTCTTTTCCTCCATTGCTGTGCTGGTCTGGGGTAGTGCTGGGACCCCTTTGGCTTCTTTTTCTTGGAAGTTTAAAGAGAGTAAAAGAAATAAAACGAACCACTGGCCACTACCACCACTATCACAGTAACCAACAGTAAGCCGAGATAAGAATGGAGAGAGGGGGAGAGAGGGCGTATGTGAGTGCGTGTTTGAAACTTGATCGCTGTCTTCCTTCGGTAAAGTGAGAGGGAGAAGTTGATACGCCAGGCAGTACAATAGAATATTTGTCTTTATTGTATATTGAGTTGTTTTTAAAATATCAACTGAAGATAGAAGAAGGATGGTTGTGGAGTAAATTATAAATTTGTATTTTTAGTTTTGTGAAATAAATTAAATATTTTTTTAATTTAAGATTAATTGATTTTTTAGATCTATTTATAATTTGATTCTTTTTATTCAATTCATGTTATTTTTTATTTTTTAAAAAGAAGTGAACGGTATAAAAAAATAAAAATATATTTTTTAGGATAAAATAATATTAAATTAAATGCAGTTAATACCAGTCAATAAAATAATTAATTAATTTTTTTAGATCCCAAGTCAACAAATATAAAAACCACATGCCTTGGCAGGGGTTCAGTTATGGTCTCTATTTCAATCCTTGTTACTCAAAGTCATCAATGAACCTTTTACGCTGGAATCAGGGAGAGTTGTAGAGATGATACTAGGGGAATAAAAAAAGGGATATTGTGTGAATATTATCGTGGTGTAAATATTTTAAAAAGAGAATATATTAAAATATTTAATTATTTTTTAAATTATCATATTAAAATCATAAAAATACATTACAAATCTAATTTTATATTTTTTAAAGAAAATACACTTTTAAAACACCTCTACACATGTGTGTTTGGTATTATAATTATTTTTGCAGTTATAATTTAAAAAAAATATTATTTTTTATTTAAAAAATATATATTTAGTTAAAATTAATGTAAGATAAATTTTTACATGCCAAATAAATTAATAATATATTATTTTAATTTCTAAAAAATCAAAATTTAAAACACGAAATGCAATATATATAAAAAAAAACATAAATTATTCAACTTACTAAACAGTTTTTTTTAGGCACTCAATACCAAAAGATCTTTTAGAGCCTGTTTGGAAGTGTGGTTGCTGTTGCTTTTCAAATAGCTTTTCGTGTCAAAATACATGCCAATGATGTTTTTTTATTTTTTAAAAATTATTTTTGACATCAGCACATCAAAATGATTTGAAAACATTAAAAACATATTAATTTGAAGTTAATAAAAAAATAAAAAAATTTCAAATTTTTTCAAAAACGCTTTTGAAATGTAGAAATAAACAAGCGCAAATTAATCAACTACCAGTACCACTGACCTGGCTGTTTCATGTTTAAGTTTCAAATTTAAATTATGGGTTAACATGAATTTGATTATATCAATTTAAAATAATTTTTGATTTGTTGGAAAAAATAAAATGATTTCATTTTAATCTTTTAAAAAATCAAATCGAAATTTTAACTAAATTAATTATAGTATAATTTAATTTAAATTTTTTCTTGGATCTTGTTAAGAGCTCACCAGGTAAACTTGTCGGGTTGGCCAAGCGGAATGACATTGGTCGAGGAACAATTTTATCAATATTGGAGAAGGAAGAGGCAAATAGTTATATACATTCCTTAGATAACTATCTGTTAAACCTGTTAAATCTGATGTGTTTTTTTATTTTTATATTTTAAAAATATATTTTTTTAAAATATTATTAAATAATAATAATGATAATAAATTTAAAAAATAACCACTAATATTATTCATAAATTATTTCAATACTTTCCTGCCGCACATATAAAACTTTTAAAACAAACCGTTTCTAAAATATCGCTAAGGATACTTAAAATGTTTTATAAAACATTACAAAACAATTGAAACACAAGGTAAAAATATTATAGCTCTCTTCTTATTTTTTTTATTCACCATAGAACGTGGTGATTTTTTTGTCATTCTTAAGAAAATTGATTGTCTCTAAACCTTGTGTATTTTTATCTTTTTATATGGTACATTAATTATTATAAATTTATTTGAAAATATTTTTATCTATTTAATATATTTATGAATAATTAAATATAACCAAAATGCTTTTGGAATAAAACAAATTAACATTGTGAGGTAAAGATGTTATCATTTTCCTTTTTAGAATACAATAAAATTACATGTATGGCTCTAATAATTACTGTTACCTCCCCCCACCAATATTGTGATCTTTATTTGCTAGCATGATAAAATTATCATTACGAAACCAACTCCAGGGAGTTTTATGAATTTTTAATGACTTGTGTTTTCCAGTACTGCTGAGCTTGATTGAGCGTAGTAAAAGGAATGTCACCATATAATTGAGGGTTGAAATTAGTAACAATAATAATTTAAAATATACCAATTAAAATAATTTTACATGGTTTCACTAATAGAATCCAATGGAAAACTTTTTATAAAAAATCAACTTGGTTGAATCTGATTTTTTCAGCAAAATCCAACTAATTCATTTGGAGTTTTAATGACAATATCAAGAAAAAAAAAGTAATTTTAACAATACAATCAATACAAGTTAATGTGATAATTTGTAAATTAATGTGATATTCTAACAAATCTATAATTTATACCATTATTGTAAAATTTAAGATCGATTCGACTTAAAAAACAAGGACTAATTAATATAAAAATTTGGATTGACTTATTTATCAAAACTCGATCTATTCAAAATCTAATTATCAACTAAATAATTTATTTTTAGATTTTTATCAAAATAATGCTGTATTGGTTATTTTTTAAAAAATAATAGATCAATTTTTATTTTTTAATCAAAATAATATTTGTCTTGATTGTTTTTTTTAAATGGATAAACCATCCTGAGTCCTGACCCACTACTCTGGTTTCGCTCCGGATTGAACCACGAGTTCGGTTTATAAACAACGTTTTTTATGGCTCAAATTCGAGTCGGGTCTAGCAAATATGCCCCTCGGCCCCCAGCCAGGACAAAGAGACAACACGGTCACTCGACTCAAACTCTCAGCTTCCAAGTTCCATCCCTCGGAGAAATGCAGTCTCCTCTTTCGAACTCCTAAATGGCCAAAAAATTGCTGATTCATTCACTATGATGCTCTCTCTCTATACATCTCCAAATCTAATAACCTTAAATTTCAATGCTCAGGCACTCTCCAATCCCCTCCCCTTCTCCCCTCCTCTCCTCTCTCCGCAAATCAATCCACTGGAAACCCCGCCACGAATCCAACCTCTCCCGTCCTGAACTCCACGAGCGCATCTCTCGTCTCCTAATCCTACGTCGTTTTGACGCCCTCGAAAACCTTAACTTCCATTTCTCCGATAACCTTGTAGACTCCATCCTCGTTAAACTCAAGTTAAATCCTGAAGCTTGTCTTAATTTCTTCCAATTAGCCGCAAAACAACCTAATTTTACACCGAGCGTTAAATCTTACTGTAAACTTGTTCACATTCTATCTCGAGCTCGAATGTACGATGAGACCAGATCGTATTTAAATGAACTGGCTTCTCTTTGTAAGAATAATTACACTTCTTTTCTTGTTCTTGACGAGCTTGTTAGGATTTATAAAGACTTTAAGTTTTCGCCGTTAGTTTTTGACATGATTTTGAAAGTATATGCAGAAAAAGGAATGGTAAAGAATGCACTCCACGTGTTTGATAATATGGGGAAGTACGGTCGTAAACCGAGTTTACTGTCTTGTAATAGTTTGTTGAGTAATTTAGTTAAAAGGGGCGAAAGTTATAGTGCAGTTCTTGTCTATGATCAAATGAGAAGGTTGAATATTGTGCCTGATGTTTTTACTTGTGCAATTATGGTTAACGCATATTGTAAGGCGGGGAAGGTGGAGAGAGCGGTGGAATTTGTTAGGGAAATGGAGAAGTTAGGGTTTGAATTGAATGCAGTGTGTTACAATAGTTTGGTTGATGGATATGTTAGTCTGGGAGATATAGAGGGGGCGAAAGGGGTTTTGAAGTTTATGAGTGAAAAGGGGGTTATGAGAAATAAGGTTACGTTTACGTTGCTGATCAAGGGTTATTGTAAACAATGTAAGGTGGAGGAAGCAGAGAAGGTGCTTAGAGAGATGGAGAAAGAGGATGGAGTGGTTGTTGATGAGTATGCTTATGGTGTGCTGATAGATGGGTACTGTAAAGTTGGTAAAATGGGTGATGCTATCAGGGTTAGGGATGAGATACTGAAGGTAGGATTGAAGATGAATTTATTTGTTTGCAATTCTTTGATTAACGGGTATTGTAAAAATGGTCAAGTTCACGAGGGAGAGAGTTTGTTGATGTGTATGAGAAAGTGGGATTTAAAGCCAGATTCTTATAGTTATTGTACTCTTGTGGATGGATATTGTAGAGATGGTCTCAGTAGCAAAGCTTTCAATGTTTGCGATCAGATGCTTCGGAAGGGGATTGAACCAACTGTTGTAACTTATAATACTCTTCTCAAAGGCTTATGTCGTGTTGGTGATTACAAGGATGCTTTGCGCCTTTGGCATTTGATGCTACAGAGAGGGGTCACTCCTAATGAGGTTGGCTATTGTACTCTACTAGACGGACTTTTCAAGATGGGAGATTTTTCAAGGGCTTTAACCCTGTGGGATGATATTCTAGCTAGAGGTATAAACAAAAGCATATACGCTTTCAATACAATGATCAATGGGTTGTGTAAGATGGGGAAAATGGATTGCGCAAAGGAGACTTTTAAAAGAATGCTGGAATTGGGCTGTAAACCTGATGGAATAACATATAGAACCCTAAGTGATGGGTATTGTAAAGTTGGAAACGTGGAAGAAGCTTTTAAAGTTAAAGAGAAAATGGAAAAGGAAGAAATTTTTCCTTCCATTGAAATGTATAATTCCCTAATTGTTGGACTTTTTACTTCCAAGAAAATGAGTAAATTGATAGATCTTCTTGCAGAGATTTACACTAGGGGATTGTCCCCTAATGTTGTTACTTATGGAGCCCTTATTGCTGGTTGGTGTGATCAAGGTAGACTGGATAAAGCTTTTAGTGCATATTTTGAGATGATTGGGAAGGGGTTCGCTCCCAATGTAATTATTTGCAGCAAAATTGTCAGTAGCCTCTACAGGCTCGGTAGGATTGATGAAGCAAATATGCTCTTGCAGAAGATGGTGGATTTTGATCTTGTTTTAGATCACAGATGTTTGGAAGATTTTCAGAATACTGATATTAGCAAACTAGACTGCTGGAAAATTGCCGATACCCTCAATGAAAGTGCTATTAAATTTTCTCTCCCCAACAATGTGGTGTACAATATAGCTATGGCAGGGCTTTGCAAGTCTGGGAAGGTCAATGATGCAAGGAGATTTTTCTTGGGCCTGTTGCACGGAAGCTTTACTCCTGATAATTTCACGTACTGCACCTTAATTCATGGCTTTTCAGCTGCTGGTTATGTGAATGAAGCTTTCAACTTGCGTGATGAGATGGTGAAAAAGGGTCTTGTTCCAAACATAACTACATACAATGCTCTACTGAATGGCCTTTGTAAGTCGGGATATCTGGATAGAGCACGGAGACTTTTTGATAAACTTCACCTGAAGGGATTAATTCCAAATGTTGTTACTTACAATATATTGATCGATGGATACTGTAAAAGTGGCAGTCCTAGAGAAGCCTTGGACTTGAGAGGCAAAATGTTAAAAGAAGGGATTTCTCCTTCTATTATTACTTATTCATCCTTGATTAATGGTTTTTGTAAGCAAGGTGATGTGGAAGAAGCTATGAAGCTTTTAAATGAGTTGAAAGCATCAAATGTGGACCAAACTATAGCCACATTCTCCAAGTTAGTTGAGGGTTGTGTTCTTCATTCAGATGTTAAGAAGATGTCCAAGCTTCACAACATGATGCATATGGCATGTCCCTCCACTGGCATTACTTCTCATGGACAAACGGAGCTATCAGAGCTCTCAAATGCCAAAGAAATGCTAGATTCATATACCATCTCTGAAGCTGCATGTTGATGAATGAGTAAACTAAGATTTTCTATGAGGAAATTGTTTCATTTAATGGGAACAACTTTAACTCAACCTTCTACAAGGGAGGCTTTGGTAATGTGCGTTGCAAATACAATAGTTTCTCTTGTTTGCGAAAAACCCGGGGTACTGATGGTGGTCTCATGGTGCAGGTTGTAATCCATCTGTTTTATAATGCTTTATAGTTCCAAACGTTGCCTGCTCTAATCATCTTGGTAAGTAATTGCTTGGGGAGCGTTCTGGCTTTATTTTCACATGTTTCTTGCCAAAAGCTGGCATTAATTGAGGGAAAGCTGTGGGTGGGCCTTTTATTGAGTTAATCAGTCTTTGAAACCATTTGTATCTTCCCATAATTGTGTCATTGCCCCAACCACATTTATATTTATGATTTTTTTGGTTTGCTTTTAACAGATGCATTAAGATGCTGATGTTTACTCTTAAAACTTGCATATTGTAATAAAACAATATCTTCTTTCACAGGATAAACAATGGTATTTTACATGTGGCAATATATCCATCACAATCAGGTCAATTAACGGTTGGACCAATGCTTATTGCAGAAGCAGGAAAGATTGTGCTCATTGGGAGGGTCTTATGCAGCGGGCTGGAGGCAAATTCTGTCACACCTTGTGAATATCTCACTGGTAGCTACTAGCATTCTTTTGCAACTAGCATTCTTTTGCAATGACAGTTAAATGATGATGGAAGTCCAACTTCTGTACATTTCAGTTGAGGTTGGTGAGAAAATTCCTTTGCCATTGTTTTGTGTGCTTTGAGAGGAAGACACAAATAACTACTGAATTAAGTGGGAAAATGGCTTGACACATATTTTGTCCTGTAAATTGCTGAATCAAACCATACAAGATGTCTATGTATGTATGTACGCATGTATTAGAATAGTGCATTATAGAAATTCTGTGTGTTCATGTTATTCATGCATGTTGCTTAGCAGATGCACATAAATGCATGTAGATTACAATGGCAAAGGAGAATTCATTCCTTATCTTTTTGGTTCTAGCAATCAAACTTGTAGCCTGGTAGGAGTGAACTTGAATTAGAAGGATATGGTTTAAAGTTAACTATTTCTGTTTTCATGTCACTGGGCTTCTGCTTCAGCAAGTTTCTTGATTTTTTTCCTTTTTAATCATTAGGGTGTGGCTCTTATTATAGGTTCTCTTGGAAACAGGAAACCCACCTCCAATGTATCATGATGTACCCACTATTTTCATCATGGTGGGATTTGCAACTTGGATCATGCCTCATGGTCAACACCTGAAGATTGAAAATGTCCTCCACTGTCATCTGCCTGGTAACCAGGACAGAAATCATTTGGGATGGACACTATGAAAGTTTATTTCTTGTTTAAAGTTGATGGATCTAAAAGTGCAATTAACGAGGTAAGTCCTCGCAACAAGGAAACACCAAGTGGTTTTGTAAAGAGAACTACCATGAAGTTTAAAGAAAATGAAAAGAAAAGGATAGAAATGTAATTATAGCAAAGATATTTTCATCAAATTTTTGCTCTCAAGCTACTTAAAATTAGGCTGAGTGGGGTGCATTACAGATATCTATTATAGCTATTGCATCCTTGTATTTGATGGTAGTTACAAACTACAAAGCATGTGCAATTAAAATATCAGATCAAAGAGAATGTTAGTAAGATGAACTTTGTTGTGGAAGTGAAGGTTTCTTTTTGGTGTTTAATTTATTTATTTTTAGTCTATATGCTATGGCCTATCAGAAAAACTCATCCATGAGATTCACACTTTGCTTATTGAAGAGGAGACGCTACTTCTATGAAATTTTAATGCTTCCGTATATGGAATATGACGCATCCTCTTCCTACACCCGCTAGAGGTCCCCGTAGATTAGCAATTTAATGGACAGCAGCTACAAAATAGGTTCTCGTGATTTTTAAGCAACTTTTCTTGCTTTTATCAACATAAATGATGAGATCAGATTTAATGCTGTTGAAATTAATCACTAATTAGGAAGATTCCTTTTTCTATCCTTTCCTCTCTTTTGGAATACAAATTTGGAAGATCTGGTTCTCACTAATGGGAAGATTTGATTCTCATCTGAAAAACCTTATACAGGGACCATTGCAAGAGAAGGCTAATCAATAGCTCCCAAACCAAAAACTGGCAACCTCGGCAGAAAGGCAGATTAGGATTGCAAAGCTGCATCAAGATAGATGCGAGGAAACCATGCATCAAGAGATAAAAGCAGGCAGAATGGGGCTGCTCATGTCTAGCTTAGCTGTCATGGATGTCTGTTTCTATTCTTACAAGCAATTCAACTATGGATACAATTATAATTGTTTGACTTGTGTTCTGTAAGTTTGTTTACTGTCTATTTTATGTCTAAATTTTTCAAACCAAGCTAATATTTTCTATGAATGACATGTAGACAAGCACATGTGCTTTTGTGCATGAGATGTATAAATATACAAATTGCACTTTTTTGGCATTGGCAGGATGATGGTGCAGGATTCATTTAATGAATTTCCGGATTAAATTCTTGTGAATATTTTTTCCTACTTGAGTACGAAAGAAGCAGCGGCATCTCAAAGTGGTAGAGATATATGTGGACATTTACTGCTGGAAGTTTGAAGTTTGACGAGTCTAAAACAGCATGGAATCACACTTCTTACTAGTGAATTCAGATCAAGGAGTTCCACCTGGTAAAATGTTCGAACCAATGGGATTTGTTAAGCAGATGAATTGACCTTTTCTCGGATTATGAATCAGTGTCCAACGACAGGTGAATTAATAATTTGCTATGAACTAGATGAATATTGATACTTGGACAGGATTTGCGTTGAATACGAGAGTTAAGGGGCTCATGCAAGACTTGACTCCACTTCGGCCAGGCATCAGCTGGCCTTGCACTCTTACAGCTCGGTTTCTTTGTAATCAGTCCACATCCCGTAAGAGCTTCTCCAGTTGACTGGTATGCAAGAGAACTTTTAGGCTAAATATTTATCTGGTTGTCCATTTTTTGAGATGCTATGTTCAAGAAGCTCACCAATCTCGGGTTACTTCTGGCCCTTCATTGAAGCTGAAACGCCAGGAGATACAAAGCTTGTTCCACTTTGGAATGGATTGAGGTTTCTGCGATAAATCTTGTTTCATTTGATAATTGGAGAAAAGACAATCACTTTTTCTTCGCAGACACTGCCAGCATTTGCAGAGCATCTTTTGAGGACTGGTATGGTGGCCTTTCCACTACAATCTCTAGTTATGCCCCACAATGGTAGTATCTTACATTAATGTTCACTCCAACGTCATGTTTATGTAAAAACACATTAAGTTCTGTTATATTTTTTATCTTTCACAATTTTCTTTCAAATAATATTTAATTTCATTGTTGATTTGTCCAGCTCTATATAAACACCAGCAATGGCGCCTGTCCAAAGTTTCGTAATCCCAGACAATCATTCTCCCAATATCAATAAAATTCTCTTTTTCTTCAATTATCATAGTTATCATTTTTATAGATGAGGTGGAGCTGGTCAATTCCAACTTTTTTTACATCGAAACAACTTTTTTTGGGGTTTATTTAGGCTAACATGACGACCTGTGACACATTAACGCAAGAAATGTATAGAGAGGATCAAGGCACTCGAAATTGTACTATAATCATTTCGACACCCCATTTCTAAAACTCTAATTCCAGCCCCTGGAACTGTATAAAACTGTCGGCTTTTCACTTTGTTTATCTGTGAAAAACATATTATTTATAATTTAGAATTTATTGCATAAGCATGACATTGGCGTGATGGGGTGCGAGCAATAACTATCTCGTTTAAAGCAGTGCTGAAACTGAAAGAGCCCCTGTAGAACGTGATGCCTGAAAGAGATTGTTCAGCCCGTACTTGTTTGGAATCTCCCCCTCTCCCATCCTAAGCTTGAGTGACACTAGGCTTGATGTTATCACACTTATAATCATGTTTTTTTTATATATAAATTTTAATTTTTTATGTTTTTAGATGGTTATAATATTTTAATATTCTAATCTTGAAAATAAATTTCAAAAATAATAAAAAAAATATTATTTTAATATATTTTTAAATAAAAAATATTTTTAAAAATAAAATTTACCACATCTTTAAATAGATTTTTAACAAACCATTTTGTCTCGTTAGGATAATCCAAAACTCATTTAGAGTAAACTTTTAATTAAATAGAATAATATATTAATCCAAAGAATCTTCATTGATTTATTAATCCAAAGAATCTTCATTGATATAGTTGAATTTTTAGTAATATATTTGACCTGATTAAGTCTATCAAGAAAAAAATAAGATGATATTATTTTAATAAAAGTAACTAACCCAATAGCTCTTGTGTTGGTCCAATAATTCAATAACCTATTTTTTTTTTTTAGATTAATCCTCAAACTGGATATGAAAAATATTAATTTTATTGTTGTAATTTTTTGGATCTAATGTCTGAAACTTTAGGGCTCTCTTCTTTAAACGAGCTAATTTCAACCCTTGATTTAAAGAAAAAATCATGAAAAATGGTGCTACAAGCAAGGACTGAATCAAAGAAATCGACTTGCATGGAGTTTTTAATTAGTTGATGCTGCTTCCTGAATTACAAAATGGGCCTGCAAACAAGGCAAGAGAGCCTTGAGAATTCCATTATAAGCCACCTCACGCCGAAAGAAGCATATGAAATTTATGTTACATATAAGCCCCTTTTTTTTTTTTTTTTTTTTTGATTTACGTGGGGTGTTCGGGCCAGCTTACGCGCACCACGACTAATCCCCACGGCCCACTGAACACCCTGCAAACCCAGCAGGCAGGTAAGGCAGCGCGGGGCTGACAGGCATGCAACTCCAAGACTCGAACCCGTGACAGCAGAAGGCGCAAAGCGCCATTCCACCGCTGGCCGTTGCTTATAAGCCCCTTTTTCATCATATACAACATAAATTACGGTGGAAATGGTAATTTTGTAATTTTTAAAATCTTTTACCATAGTCGTGGAAAATATATAATTCTCTGTCTCTTATATTTGCTAGTTATCTTTTTATTTTAAAATTTCATTTCCATCAACAAATCTATCTCAATCTATCGTTAATCTATATATGTGTGTGTGTATTTTAAATAGCATTTTTACATGTCTTGGTTAAGAGAATCATCTTACGATGAAATGCATTCTCAACATTATCCTAAAATGTTAAAAATTAACATGGAATCCTACATATATTTATTAACACGCATTATTTTTTGTTTTATTTTATTATATTTATATATTAATTTTTTGATTTATAGTTATATTTTTTACTTGATATTAAAAAATACATTAACAATATCTATACATTCATTATATATATATATAAAAAAACATCTCACTGGCAACAAATAAGAAGAGTTAAATAAATGCACCAACTTTGTTTTGTAATTATTGGCATAGATAATTATCAATTTATTTAATTAAAAATATGCATAGACTTTTGGATCTATAATTTGATTTTTTTTGTTAAAAAAAACTTACCTCTACCATTTTTTTTGTTGCAAAAATAATAATCTATTCAATTAACAGTGAAGCATAATCAAATAGATAGTAAAAGCTATGATTAAAAAGTCTAAAACCCACAGTTACTTCAATTAAAATCCAAAAGATGCCCCTAACAAACGCAATAGCTTCTACACAACACGGTTATGAAACTTGAATAGGCTGGTGGGTCAACTCAAAATTTAATTAATTGTCACCTAACTTAGATCTGGTTTTACACAAATAAAAGATTGACATAAAATAATCTAGTTGAAAATTAGGATTGGTATAATATAACCGGTCAAAAAAACTAGGCTGACTTGAAACTTAGTTAAAATGTATTAAAATTTTAAAAAATAATATTTATATTTTAACTTTTTTTAAAAAAAGAGAGAGTCAATCCATGTCATCTATTCCCTGAACTTTGCCGAGGGCCTGACCCCTGTCAGCTGAGCATGTGTGCAGAGCATTTATGAGGATCATTGTTATCTACTTCGATGATTGGCAATAGGAAGAAAAAATCCTATTTTTGGAGGTGGTGAAATTTCTTAGAGAATGGTCATGCTGGCAAGCACGAAGGGCTCTGTACAAAACGCGTTGTCAACGTCATGATTTTATACTTTCATGGAACACAGGAACTCCACTAAAAAATTATTTCTCTTTTTATTTATTTTTTTGTTCTTGATTAAGCACTGCTTTTAAAATAAAAACAAGACGACATCATTTGTGAATACAAGTTGTGGCTGTGTACTGACTTTCGTATCGATATTTTCAGTGCGTCTCCACTCAAGATCAGGAGACTTCGGAGCCCGTTCTGTGCTGGTATTATTACAGGTGTTGATTTTTACAATATTTTTATTATTTTTTAAAATTTAGCCAAAATCATACAGGCTATATAATATTCGATAACATCTATAAAAACTAATCAAGATTCATAGACTTCATCTCAGGGAACATCTATAAAAACTTAGGGCAAAATCTCTACCGAATCTGGATCCCAATTTATAAGCTTTGTGTCGACCATCTTTGAATTCCACTTTGATCGGCTAATTAATGCTCTATATAAAAGTATGATGGGTAGCAAAAACAATAGAGGAAGGACAGGGAGGGGTTTTTTTTCTGATTTTTCATAACAATTTCAACACCCTGTGTGTACCGAAAATCATGAAAATTTATTTTTTGTAACCTAACTTGAGATTCTAATTCCAGTAATTGAGGTTTTCTGTAATCGAAATTGTTTTTCCAAGCTGTCTATCTTTGAACAAGACAAGACATACGACATGTCAAATCGTTGAGCGAAAAACCAGCATCGAAAATCGAAGGGCTGGCAGGTATTCGTACAGTTTACGAGCAATCAAAGAGAAGTCAGGAGATTTAAGAGTGGAACCCGAAAACACAGAGGAACGGTAAACGTAACCATAGTCTTTGTTGCATGCCCAGTCCGGGATCATACGCCGTACACATGGCTGGCTGATTTATTTATGCCACGCGTCAGTCAAGAGAAAGGCCTCCAAGATCCAGCTATTTGTGACCTTCCGTAGTCTCTAATTTCCCCACCGACACTTTCCTTCGGACAAATTATTATTCAGTTTTAATATTAATTAAATAAGAAAAAAGAGGAAAAGAAATTCTTACAGAGTGGCTGGCGTTTTGAAAGTTGTCAGTTGACGACATGATTATAATTGACGCCACGATCCTTAACCAATAGGAATAAGACCGAGTTTAATTAATGTTTTAAATTTATTTTTAAAATAAAAAAGTTATATCTTTTTTGTTTCGTTGTCTATATATCTCCGTTCCCATACCCCCAAAAAAAAAAAATCTACAATGCAATCCATTTTGCTATATAAAATAATAAAAAAAGAATTTAAAATTTATTTAATTAGCTTTGTTTTTATAAATTCTAAATTTGGTAACATTAAAAAGTGAATCTTCAAATATGGTTGAAATTGTATTTTTTTAATTTGAATTTTTTGTATTTAAAATTATTTTTTATATATTTTTAAAATAGTTTCACTATATTAATATCTAAAATAATTTTTTTAAAATAAATATAAATAACTTTAATATATATATATATATATTTAAAAAAAATACTTTAAATTAAACTAACAAACACCCCCGCATCATCTCAGATGGGGATAAAATCTTTGTCAACCAGACTGTGGTATGACAGAAGCATGTGCACTATTTTTCTACTCGGCAATCATGAGAAATAGCTGGCAAGACACTATTTTTAAAATGAGAGGGTGATTTCCGAGGAAGGCACTTGGAAGCAAGAGCTTCTACTGGCCATTTCGTTGGCAAATTTGACGATACCAAATTCGGTAGCTATCACACCCGCTTGGAATCCCGTTGCATTTCAAGACAATACGGCATCGCTTCTTCGATCACTAGCTAATGCCCAGTGCAGGAAAAGCCGTCTAAATTTGACTCGGTACGTGTAACAACTGGTTTGAAACATTTAGTAGATCGTCGGTGAATCATAATTGACTGGTCATTCTTCAATAATAAATTCAAACATGTTAAACTAAAAAAATGATTGAATACTTGTATGGACTAAAATTTAGATTAACCTTTTGAAGTAACACGTGTAGGGCAAATCCTTGATATATTTTACCCAAGTATGCACAAAATTATCAGTAGCTATCAATCATTTATCTGAAAATCTATTGCTTTATGGCTGGCCTTGAACTTATTTGTCGTAGGTGAAGAGTCGTATCAGTAGGCAACATGTCTATCCAGCCTCAGCAGTCATCTCTTCTTGAAGGAAAAAAACCTTACAAAGTACCAGTACTACGTACTAAAAGTTTATCAAATAGCAAGATTGAAAGGAGAGTTCTTACTAAGAGTGTTTTTTTTTTGTGAAAAAATATTTTTGTAAATTTATTTATTTTAAATTTATTTATTTTAAATTTATTTTTTATATAATTTTAAATATTTTTATGTTTAAAATAAGTTTTTTTAAAAATACTATTTTAATATATTTAAAAAAAATTATAAAAAAAGACAATTCCAAACACTAACTTCTTTAGCTTCAAGTTTTCAGAAGGAAAAAACATTTTTTTTCATTTATAACAATAATGATGCTTCCAGCCTACCGAACCCGCATTATAAAATCCTTAATGGTGCTTGAAAGGGAGAGGAACAGACTGCTGAAAGAGATGAGACGTTTCAATCAAATTCTATAATCCCACCAGCATATCTAGTGAGTATTTGTTACTGTAGTGCAAATTGCTTTTTAAAAATATTTTGATTTGATATTATTTTTAGATTATTTATTTATTTTTAATATTAATACATTAAAAATATAAAAATTATTAATTTAATATTTGTAATGGAGTATAAAACACAATCTCTGGCACCGCAAAATTACAGCTTTAAAAAAATAAATTTTAAAAAAATTATAAATAACATTTTTTCTCAATCAATATTTTTAAATAGAATTGTTAGTGAAATATATGTAAAACTACAGTAAAAAGTTAATTAATCAAATAATTTTAATTTTAAAAATATTATCGCAGCAAAACAAAAAACCACATCACACCGCATCACAAAATAAACAGAGCCTTGTCCTAGTGGAAAAGAATCACTAACTTAATCAATGATTGGTAAACAATAGTAGCCTAGCATGTCCAGGAAATAATTCCCAGTATGAGCCTCTTATCAAGTTATGGCATAGAACAGAGATGTAACTTACACAAACATTTATCGACTGAATATTTTAGCTCTTATTAAACAAAATATTGATTAATGAAACCAACAAAAACAGCTCTTTCCCT